GCTAAGAGTACTGGTACATCATCTTTCTTGTAGGTTAAGTTATTGATTAATAGTAGTGGTTCTGATATCAATTGGAATGTGTCCAATTTTGAAAAGGGATCAAGAGTCATGCCCATTTTCTCTGAAGCCTTGGGAGGTAGACCTTGTGGAAAGTATTATTGTAGTTTGTATATATTATGATGGATGTATACTTGTATGAATATTAACTGACATAGGATGTATACAATTGGGCTTGAAATTTTTCTATTAAATGGAGGAAGAAAACCGAATGATATCGGAAATTTTGAATTTAAATGGCAAACCTTTTGATGTCATAAATTGTACGCTAGGTATTTCTACATAGATTTCCATGCGTCATTTTCGTCATTCACTCCTTTTTAGCTGGTTGGATTTGATTACCAGGATTAGAGTTTTACACGGACAGTCTGTCCATAATATTGGGGATTGGTTGTTGCTTTCTATTAGGTTGGGTATCAACTTGCAACTCGAACAAAAGGTTAGAAACCAAAGAAGCAATTTTTTTCATTTATTCTTTTTGTCTTCTTTCCTCCAATATCCCAATTTATTAAAAGACATAGATTGGTTTAAGGGACTGTTTGGCATTACTTTTGAAAAGTCAATCTATTTTGGATCTATTTAAAATTTGATAATTTTTTTGAAAGTGTTTTCTCCGATTTAAAAAGTTTCTAAACCAATCTATGTCTTTTAATAAATTGGGATCATGTGTTTTTGCGTTTATCCAATTTATCTTGATGTTCGATCGGGAAGAAAAACAATACACTTTTGGGAATATTTGGCACGTGGCACGTGATATGTTTCGATCCTACAACTAAATAAAGGAGTTGAGTCTTGTTATCTTTTAATTATTTCTTTAGGCCCTGTTTGAGAGTCATTAAATATTTGTAATGTATTATAGAATAGTAGATTGATCCTACAACTAAATAAGGGAGCTGAGTCTTGTTATCTTTTAATTATTTCTTTAGGCCCGGTTTGAGAGTCATTAATTTCTTGTAATGTATTATAGAATAGTAGATTAATGAAGAATGTGTGGTTTAAGGGTCCGTTTGGTTGTATGGGTGGAAAATGAGTGAAAAAAAATTAATTTCAAGAAAAGTAATTGTCTAGAAATTATTTTGCAGGGAATTGTTAATTAAGTGTGTTTGATTGGTATAATTTTTCACCCGTAAAATTTTTAAATTTTAGATCTTTTTGTATTCGTTTAGATTTGTTTTATTTGGAAATTGTCTATTAAAGTGATGATTTTTTTTCACAATTAGTTATAAAATTTGTTTTCATTGCCAAAAAGTAAAAAAAATCCCTAAAAAAATCGTTTTTTTTTTTTTTAATCAAAGTTTAGTGTTTATTTATTTTTGTTTTTACATGAAAATTGTCATTTTTTTCACTACTAGTTATGAAATTTGTTTCCATTACCAAAAAAAAAGGGCAGCAGCACCGGGAAAAGCTTTTTCCCACGAAAAAGGTGGGAAAGCTTTTCATCAATTGGCAAAAATTTAGGCGCGTGGAGAGGTAAAGTGGAAAAAATTTCGCCTAGAAAAAAATACCAATATAACAAGTCAAATGGGTGGAAATTGAAATCATTTTTCATTTTCCATGGAAAATGTAAGTTATCAAATAGGGCCTAAAAGTAAGGAAATTTTATTGATTTGTGTGTAAAATTTTTAGAATCCTTGACAAACTAGAAAAATAAGTGTAGATCTCCTGCGAGAATGATACAAGACTTCACTCCTTTTTGGTGCACATTATCAACCCAATAATACATTTTTTTTATGCGATGGAGAATATGTGATTGAAAAATAAGGAAATGTTATTGATGTGATGGAAAATATTATTTTATTGAAAAATGTGTGATTGTAAATCAGTAGAAAAATGAGAATGAAAAAAATAATTTGATTCAATCATGGACTTAATTACAATAAAAAAGGGGGTGGCAAAACCTAATTGCAAAGAAGATTCTTAGGCAAGTTGTTGAAATATAATTATTAGATTTAACAAAAAACCTTTTTGTTGCTAGTAATATTAATATTAATCACATTTTTCATGGATTTCACAACTTTCCAATCACACATTTTAAATTTTTTATAATAATATACTAAAATATCTACTTTTAATACCCACCAAATATCCACTAAACACGATCGAGGAAGTGGATGTGTAGAAAGGCATAAAAATGAATTAGAAATATTTGGAGGTTATTATGAAATTTTGGATGGACTATTTTTCTTCTCTCACCTCTTTTACTATTTTGATGAGGCCCATGAGGAGTACAAGAGTGGAGGACGAGGAATTTCACAAGAGAAGATTACATATTCAAGAGAATAAGAGGGTGTTTGACACCCATTTTTTGGAGAATAAAATTTTTTGAATAGTGATTGATGGGAGAATGTGTGGTGGAAAAGTTACGAAAAGTTTTAAATTTGTGTGTAATATTATTTTATTGGGAGAATGTGTGGATGAAATGAAGAAAGAGAGAGAAAATGAGAATGAGAATGGGTGCCAAACAGGGGCTAAGTTTAGCCTATTTCAAAAATANATTCAAAAATCAGGTTTATAGTTTGAAAATTCAAAAATCATATTTTTTTTTTTATTTTTTATTTATGAAATAATAAATTATTAAATCAATTTATTATTAAATATTTAATTCTAATATAATATAATTAACACATCCCACATTCACCCTCCTAGCGTTCCGATCACTGCCATATTCCGGCGAACTTTCCTACGACCGTTCCGGCGACTACTCATATTCTGACGACCGTTCCGTCATCGATTTTTTCGGCGACTGCTCCACTATATTTTTTTGTACAGTTGACATGTTTTTTTTACGGTCACAACCCAGGTCACAAGTCACAAATCACAAGTCACAGCCCATGTCATAAGTCACACCTCAGGTCACAAGTCAAGAGTCACACCCTATATCACAAGTCGCAGCTCAAGTCACAAGTCACAAATCAAGTCACAGGCCACCTCCATCTCAACAACCACCCACCATCAGCTTCAAATGGCAGAATATCACACCAACAATTGACTGTTGTCTCCCAAAACCCAGACCCAACATTAACCGGCGCTGCTAATCGAAATCGCCATCTTCAACTCCGTGCAACACCACCACAGTGCCACCCACGCACAACATAATCTGCCTCTTTTGCTAAATATACTGCTTCATCAATTTCAGCATCAGTACAGTTCACAAAACTGCAGCCCTCAGTACAGTTCACAAAACTACCAGCAAACTCCTGTAACACCACTGCCAGCCACCACAAACGCCCCAAAAAATAGATACATCAGAGGAGAGTAGAGTAGAGGGAGGATAACGGCGTCGTTGGATTAGAGAGTGATGGGGTCGCGACAGCTACATTATACCCGTTTGATTGGAGATGGCGCAACAGCGGTGCTCACTGCAGCACCTCGACGCGATCGCACCACCAGCATCGAGCGACGTCGACTGTGGCACCTCAACACCATCGCGGCTGCAGCATCGAGCGATGCTGACTACAGCGCCTCAATAAGGTCGCGCCACCGGCTGTAGCATCGAGCGACGCCAACTCTAGTGTCTCAACACCGGAGCTGTGTCGTCGGCGACGGGGTGGTGTAGGGTTTGCTTAGAGAGAAAGAGGGATAGATCTGTGAAATGGAGAGAAATACGAAAAGGGTTTGAAATATTGTATATTTAATTATAATAAATTTTAATTATAAACCATCCGATTTTGGAAATATAAAACATCTAACCTGATTTTAGAAGTTTAAAAACTTAAAATATGATTTTATGTAATTACCACATTTCACAATCTCTGTACTTTATAATGAAAAGTAAAATATATTGTTCTACATGTAAATCACCATTTACAGATTGGCGTACATACATATGATGTAGTGAGATATAATTATGTCAGAATTTTTCCAACCAAATAGAAAAAAAAGATCTTATTTACTTTCTTCTTGACATCTTATCTATTAGGGTCTGCTTGATTGCAAATGTGAAAAATGAGTAGAAAGAAAATATTTTATAGGGAATTGATTTGCCTAAAAATTATTTTGTTGGGAATTGTAATTAATTGTGTTTGATTGGTATAATTTTTCATGAAAAATATTGAAAGTTTGTTGTTCGTTTGGCTTCGTTTTTTATGAAAATTGTCCATTAAAGTGATAATTTTTCTACCATTGAGTTTAGAATTTGTTCTAATTGTCAAAAAAAATTTGAAAAAAAAAATATCATACCGAATATCATTCGTTTGACTTTGTTTTGCATGGAAATTGTTAATAAATGTGATAAATTTTTTTACCATTGTATCGGACTTTTTCCAATTGCCAAAAAAAAAAAAAAAACTAGAAATTTTTTCCCACCAAAATATCAAGAATTTATTTTCCTAAAAAAGGTGGAAAATGAGAAAAGGTAGAAAAAAAATTTTCGATCAAATTTTACCTATCAAACACTACAAATATTGCATGAAAAATAAGGCGAATTAATCGGATCCTCAGTAACACTTTTTCTTGACATCTTATCTATTAGTAAAAAAATTCATGACTCTTCAAGTATCATTAATCAAAGTAAAATAGACATTAATATATTTTTTAAATAACGATGAACAAATTAGGTAGGGGGGAGGAAACTTTTGGGCAAAACGTGGACAACCTATATCTCTCCCTGCCACGCGCTCGCACTCTCACGTGCGGTGAGTGGCCAAAACTGTAGATGCTGAGGCCTAACTCCATGGGCCCCACAGGTCCCCTACCAATTACCAAAGTCATCGATTTCTTAGCTCACCCGTCCATTCTTTTTCATCCAACGGTTGTGAACACTCTGGCGTACCAGTAGCGGTTACTACCCCTGCCTTTTTCTTAGCTCACCCGTCCATTCTTTTTCATCCAACGGTTGCGAACACTCTGGCGTACCAGTAGCGGGTACTACCCCTGCCTCATTTCCCGCACTCAAACCCTAGAGAACGTTCACAGCACTCCGCAGCCCTCCACCGTCGACTCCTGAAAAAAAGTAGAAAACCAAAATAAAAAAGACCCGTTTGAAAAATCAAAGAAATTACTAGTGGACTGTAGAATTATTATTTGCAGACAGGTAATTTTTTATTGTAGGATTATTATTTTACGCATGTTTTGGATTTTTTTTGGATATTAATGATTAAAGATGGTGTTTTTATGGAACAACATTGTGAATTTTTGATGGGTTTGTCGTATTTTGGTATATAGTTTTCTTTGCAGTATGGCGAGGACGAAAATTGCTGAAAAATGAATTGAAAATTATCCGTGGCTCGTGGTGGGTTCGGTTGAGTCAACTGAGTTGGGGACCGAGATTGGTGGGGAAGAGTGAAAGAAGAGGGTTTCTTTCTCAGTTTCTTGCATGCTTGAAAGGGGCAGAGTTTGGGATCGATTTGTGCGAGTGGAAGTCCCAAGCTTACTGAGTTGGGATCGGGTTGTTGTCTAGTCAAGGGTTCAAGTTTATGTTAGTGGGACTTCGAATTGAATTTAGCTGTGGAGTTCTTCTTCGTGGAAAGTCTATTTTATTTCAGATTAGGTTCGTGCCATTTATTGAAACTAAGATACTGAATTTTGTTTTCCGGGACTCTTACTGTGTAGTCAACTGTTTTGCTGAGCCCTTTTTCGTTTGTCCTGACCAAGAGCAATCTATGCCACTAGAAAATGAACAAAAACAAAGGATTTGAGTGCTCTGCATTATCAGAACTTTGTGGGTTTTGTATTTGACCAAGTTTTGAATTTAAGGTGGTGTGACATAGAGGAAGATTGATTCTGTCATTTTGCCTAGTAGGCAATGCCTGCAGTGGGAATGAGAAAAATCACGAGGGTGCTTGGAGCGAGGGTCTTGCGGTCAGGAAGGAGGCTGTGCACTGAACCACGTCTTAGTGGGAAGTACCTGAGAGCGGCCAACAAGGAGAATGAGCGGATTGAGCTTCCGAACAATTCTATGAATTTTGGAGTGGACCAGCGTAAACGTTGCAAGAGGGCATGGCATGAAATTGAAAATGAAAATGAAAATGATTCTCCGTTGGATATAATTGTGGAACCTAAGACAGAAGAATGTGCGCCACAGGTAAAAATTGCTGACAGGATGTTTGGAATTGTATATAAGAGAAAAATGAGAAAGATTGTGTTGAGTAGTTCCAACATTTCAGAGGATAAGATGTTTGGGCAGCAGTTCGTACGGAAAAGCTCGAGGAAAAAATATAGAGTTACTGATCGGTCTGAAACACGTGGAGAATTCCACAATAATTCTGGAAAGTGTTCAGAACTTGCTATTATTGCAAATGAGTGTTCTTATGATAATGGTTATTGGATTTCATACTTCCTGAATTCCGTATTCAAGTACATGAGGAGGTTTAGGATTGAATTGTGGCGTCTTTCTGCATTCTTACTATCGGAACCAATATGTAATGCTTTTTCTTCACATGGCATTCGATTTCTGCAGGTAATTTTTCTTTATTTTCATACCAGTAGATATTTGTTTATCACTTATCATTGTTGTGTAGTCAGGGCTAATACACCTAAAAATCCGAGTTTACTTTGTCAATCATTTATTATGTTTTTCTTGAACTCGAACTATTTAGTAACTACTTTTAATAATTATTTTATTCACTGTGTTGGTTTAGGAATTTTGCTTCATTTAGGTATAGTTATTTGGTGAGTTATGAGGTATCTCGAGTTCAAGATATGATACGATGGTTGTCAATTGCTGTTTGAATCTTATCTGATTGCTTTATTGGGATTATTTTAATATTCTAATTTCATATCTCAGGATTCTATTTCCATCAAGAATATTTTATTTTCCGTACTAATGGATATTTGTTTATCAGTTATCATTGTTGGGTAGTCAGGGCTAATACACCTAAAAATATGAGTTTATATTGTCTATCATTTTATCATGTTTTCTTGGACTCAAACTATTTAGTTGCATACCTGTACTAATTATTGTAGTCACTTTGTTTTGTGCGCCCGTGTGTTGGTTTAGGAATTTTGCTTCATTTAGGTATAGTTATTTGATGAGTAATGAGGTATCTCGAGTTCAAGATACAACACGATGGTTATCGATTGCAGTTTGAATCTTATCTGATTTCTTTATTTGGGATTATTCTAATATGCTTATTTCATATTATAGGATTCTATTTCCATCAAGAATCCTGGTTTTTGCATACTTTCAGGATCAAGGTCTTCAATACCTGTGTTTTCTGTGGATTTTTCTGCAGTTCCATCTTGCTTTATGCATTTGCATTCAAGTATGTACCTTCAACCTGTAAAACTGGCTTGTGTACTTGGTACAAATTCACAGCGTGTGACCAAGCATGTTGAGAAAGTCATACAGGAGGAACCCTCATCTCAAGTTCCTTCCAGGATAGATGGATCCGAAGGCATCATGGTTGCATCTTGGATTGATGGTTCGGAGGCAAGAGAGTTGTCACAATCATCCATTAGATTTTCTAAATCCGCTCTTCGAAATATGCACCTAAGAAATGGCTCCAATATCAAGAAAGCGAGAACCTCCCTAAAGCGCAAGAGAGGTAGACCGCCTTCAGTACTACGTGTCCAAAAAGCCAGTCGAGCTTTAGCTTCTGATTTTTTAAGATTTAGAGATGACATCCGATCCTCCTCTGCAGCATCCAGTAACCTAATTATGAGTTATGCGAAAAAGACTCAGGACTTAGGTGCTAATAGCTGTTCTGCTAACATATTAATTACTGAAATGGACAAGTGCCATAGGGAAGAAGGAGCTACCATCACATTAGAGGTATCTCCATCAGGACAATGGGTTCTTGCAGTTATGAGAGATGGGATTTACCGTTATAGCATTGCAGCAAAAAATGTTTTGAGGCCATGTGGTTGTAACCGTTTCACACATTCTATAATATGGACAGGTGATGGTGGTTGGAAGCTTGAATTTCCTAACAAACTAGACTGGGCGATTTTCAGGGAACTTTACAAGAAATGTGCCGAGCGCAATGTACAGGTCCATGCGACTAGTATTCTTCCCATTCCTGGGGTACGTGAATTATCATACCCTGTAGATAGCAACATCAGACCGTTCGATAGACCTGATTCATACATTACTGTTAAAGACGATGAGTTAACGAGGGCTTTGGCGAAGAGGACTGCCAATTATGACATGGACTCTGATGATGAGGAATGGCTGAACAAGTTCAATAATAAGTTCTATGCAGAAAAGAAGCTTCGTGAAGTTGTCAAACCTGAGAGTTTTGAGATGATAATTGATGCCCTTGAAAAAGGTTTTCATTATAATTCAGGCAATTATGCTGATGACATAGCAGCAGATATTTTTTGCATAGATCTGGAAAGAAAGGAAATTGTAGAGGCAATTCGTAGTTATTGGATTGAAAAGCGAGGACAGAATCATTCGTCACTATTAAGGGTTTTCCAGGTAAATGAGTTTTTTTTGGCGAACTCTCTAGTATACTTTATTACTTATCCTGGAGTCTTGCATTACTATGAGAGTGCTGTTAATTGTTTTTGTGTGTGTGTGTGTCTGTTTGTGTTTTATACTTGTGAATGAAATGGTCAGTTGCAATGATAAATTCTAATAAACAATCACAAGCTTGATAATTGACAACAAGTGGATTAAAAATAGCTGGAGGAAGTCTTTGTTATTCTTAAGTTGCTGGGGTTCAAGTGCACTTTTTTGCCCCGTTTTGTAGGGATTGAAGTTCAGATTTTAGTCAAATTCAATAATTAATTTTAACCACATATTTTGACCCACAACTTTTCAACCACACATTTCATCAAGTTTTATAAAATCTACTAAAAATCTGATTTTAATTTCTACAAAATAGGGGCTTTATTTCATGGGATGAATTTAGCAAGTTTCCAGTTTTCAGGCACTCGCCTTTTAAGAGTTTTACCCGACAATCTCACCTTGCTTTAGGAATATGTGAATGAAGGCCTTGCTCCTCTTCACTTATATAAAAGTTTGGATTAGATGTACATTCCTAGATGATATTGTTAACATTGTGTGAGTTGTCAAAACTTGTGTCATTGATTGTTTAAAGTATTGTTAAAATCAATGTATAAAAAATTGTCAACTCACAAGAATGTTATCCATGATGTCAAAGTTATTGTACATGTAGCAAGATTGAAAAGTTTAGGATAGCGGCAGAGAGAGGGGAGGGGACGGGGGCAATAATAATTGAAAAAAAGTGCAAAATATGTCAAATTTCCTTGTGTATTGGTCAAGCGATTAAAGCAAGTCCTTGCACTCAGCAATAGCAAGTACTATCTAGTCGGATTCTTGCATTTATGTCTTTTCTATTCTAAATAGAGTTTGTACTTATTATGAGTTTTAGAATTTGTTACTTTTATTCCAAGTAATGTGGAAAATATTCTAATATTATTGACTTACAATGTTGAATAGTTTTTTCTTTCTTTTTCTTTTATTTTCTTTCTTTTTTTTTTAATTTGTGATTTCCAGTATTAAAAGAAGAAAAAAAGAACATTTTTTCGATTATATGCTCTATGCATTTCTTTAATGTCCCACAGACTGATGTTTCTGTAGAGCAGCCACATTGGATTGGGCTGGTCATCTCAAGCTACAAAAGTTTCACTTCTTTTCTTATTTTTTTTACAGTTTTACCAGCCTAGAAGAATGCAAGTGATCCCAAGGTCTGTTTTGCGAAAGAAAAGATCGTTCAAACGACCGGGAAGACAGGCTGGGAGAGGCAAACGACGAACTTTGTTGCAAGGTGCTTTTCCTTGGTAACTTGCACTTCTGCCGTTCTAGTCTTGTTGATACCGTTATTAATTTGTTTATACATTTATGGGAATTTTAGGGAAATTGAATAATTGGTTCCTAACCTATTGCCATTATTGCAATTTGGTCCTCAGCCTGATGTTAAATGTATTTATCCAACGAAATTCATTTCTTTGGCTCCCTTTGTTATGTTGTATGGATGTATAATTGGGGTAATTTTTCTTTATGCTTTCAAGAGCCGGGCTTACAAATCATTGTACTAACCTGCGATATAAAATTCGATTACTTTATGACTTGTAATTGCAATTCAGGAATTCAATCTGCATTTTTTTTAACGAAATTTGGGTAACTAATCTGTTGGTTATGAATTGTGTTTTTAGATCTTGTCATAGTAGCTAGCTACTATAGATAACGAAGGGTTAAATACACTGTTTGTTTCTAACCTTTTATCTAGAGTCCATGTTGGTCACTAAACTTCATTTTGTTCTTGGTAACTGAACTTAAACTTTGTTTCAAGTTAGCCACTCGGTCCATGTCCATTTAGTTTGACAACAAAAAATCTGGCATGACAGTGGTTATTTGCCGAGTAGTCTGCCACATCAGCTTTTGCTAACAGACATGGATGGACTGACCAAACTGTAACAAGTGTTTAACTTCAGTGACCAATTTGGAACAAAATGAAATTTGGCGACCAACTCAGCAAAGTGTATTTTTGGTACACTAATGGATAGGATTGATTATCTATCAAAAAAATGGATAGGATTGATCAACTCTTCTTACAATATATGCCATAAAAGTTCCGTGACGACCAATGTTTTAAACCCGATAATGTATGGTAAATTTTGATTTTTGGTTATCCTAGCTATTACCGATAACAAACATTGACTTTGGCATTCTTTGCAGAAATGATTGCCGAAAGAGACTCTCTTACAGCAATGGCTGCTGAACGAGATGCGTTGGAACAACATAATATCTTACTTAAAAAGCAAGAAGCTAAATCAGAAGCTGACACATCTGAAGTATTGGCTATTCTTAAGCGTCAACATGCTCAGTTGCTAGCGGAAAATGCTGATATGGCAACTTACAGAGCCATGATGGCTGTGAGAATTGCCGAAGCTGCAAAATTTACCAGTGCTAAGAGTAATGGTACATCATCTTTCTTGTAGGTTAAGTTATTGATTAATAGTAGTGGTTCTGATATCAATTGGAATGTGTCCAATTTTGAAAAGGGATCAAGAGTCATGCCCATTTTCTCTGAAGCCTTGGGAGGTAGACCTTGTGGAAACATAATAACATCAAACATATATAAGCGATGGATGTATACTTGTATGAATATCAACTGACATAGGATGTTTACAATTGGGCTTGAAAATTTTCTTTTAAATGGAGGAAGTAAACCGAATGATATCGGAAATTTTGAACTTAAATGGCAAACCTTTTGATCTCATGAATTGGATGCTAGCTATTTCGACATAGATTTCCGTACTTCAATTTTGTCGTTCATTCCTTTTTAACAGGTTGGATTTGATTACCAGAATTAGAGTTTTACACGGACAGAGTCCATAAAATTGGGGATTGGTTGTTGCTTTCTATTAGGTTGGGTATCAATTTGCAACTCGAACGATAGGTTAGGAACCAAAGATGCAATTTTTTCATTTATTCGTTTTGTATTCTTTCCTCCAATATCCCAATCTATTGAAAGACACAGATTGGTTTAAGGGACTGTTTGGCTTTGCTTTTGAAAAGTCAATCTATTTTTGGATCAATTTAAAATTTGATAATTTTTTTGAAAATGTTTTGTCCGATTAAAAAACTTTCTAAACACGAGTTTATACATAGAGGCAGGATGGGATCATGTGTTTTCACGCGTATCCCGTTTATTCTGAGCCTTATTATCTTTTAATTATTTTCTTAAAGTCATTCGAGTTTGTCTTTAATTAGTATTAGGACTTTTAATTCCATGCACAGAGAAATTTGGTAATAACGACGTCAAAACTTGTTACCTTACTAGCTTTCAATATCTAGAACCTGTTACCATCTGAAATGAAGATTTAGCAACAAAATTTGACGTCGTTATTGCCACATTTTTTTGTGCATGAAATTAGAAGTCCTAATATAAATTAAAGACCAACCCCGCTAATGACTTTAGTTGTGAGATCGGCTGTATCAATATGCAATATTGAATAGTGAACCCGATTTGAGTACCTGACTTTTTCACAGAAAACATACAAAAACTTGAAATGAAGGGAAATGATTGAAAGATTGGAGAAGGGAAAATACATACGGGGACATGATTGGAACATTTCAAATTTCTGGCAAAAATTTGTCAAAAATTCTTGTACTCAAAAGGAATTTTTCTTGCATAGTATAATAAACAAGACATTCGCTTTTTTACTTTTTATAATATTGTGAAGTACTGAACCCACAGAAAACAAACATGCCATTTACATATAAGAATACAAATCAAACTTCGAAAAGTGAAATCAAGTAAAAATTCAGCTATACTATAGAAGGCTTATAACTGGTGAATGTGCAAATATTATTTTCTCTTTGTTTGCAGTGAATCCCCAATTATGGGAAATGCTTTTTCTTCTTGGCTTTGCCTCTCCAAGCATTGTTATAATATCTCTCATTGATGGCCTGTCCTTTGGGAGTTTGGCAGTGCAAAGAAGAGCAATTTTTAGGACAAGAAGCATTTCCTCTTCAACGTATTTACATCGTCCAACAATATCAGGATCCAATGCTTCTTTTAAGGTTTTCTTGTTTCCCTTTCGTCGAACCCATTCGATGATATCAATCGATTCGCCAAAGGTGGGATCCAGAGGCATTTTCCCTGTTAGAAGCTCCAGAAGCAGCACACCGAAACTATATATGTCACTTTTTTCATCAACCTTTAACGTGTATCCATATTCTGAAAGATAAAAGAGAAGCATAATAAGTATATCATATTTTAATAGATGCAGTAATTAATCGAACTATTGACCGTAAATGTACTGGACTAAATCTTACTAAAACAGGAACATTTTCAGTTTAAATTTAAGGATATTCACTAACCTGGTGCTATGTATCCATATGATCCAGCCACCATTGATACGGTCTCATTCTTGTGCAGCATTGCCCTTGCCAAGCCAAAGTCAGCGATCCGTGCCTCAAAATCCGAGTCTAGCAAAATGTTGTTCGACTTGATATCCCGGTGGATAACCGGGGGCAGGCAATCGTGGTGGAGATACGCAAGCCCTTGTGCAACACCGAGGGCAATGTTGTACCTCGACACCCAATCTACCAACATTTTTCCAGCCTCTTTTCCATGCAATGCTGCACCAAGATTTCCATTAGGCATGTATTCATACACCATCATAACATCAGTCTCATTGTGTAGATAACCAAATAATCTCACTATGTTCCTATGCCTAAGTTTCCCTAGGAGTTCCACCTCTGCAAAGAGGTCGTCCCCGGTTTCAATATCTGTTTCCGACCTCCGTAACTTTTTCACAGCAACAATGTTGTGTGGACGATGAGTTTCAGCTTTGTACACAATTCCTGTCCCACCAATGCCTATCACATTTGATTCCTTCAGACAAGCCAGAATGTCAGAACTAGTGAAATTAAGCCTCCGAAAGGCTACAAGCCTCCATGGCCGTTCTGAATTGTTCTTAGACAAATTGTTGAAGCAATTTTCGTACAAATACCATCGTTTATACAGCCATCTCCCTGTGAAAACCAACATGCCTACAGCCAAAATTACTGATATCCCTACAAGAAATCCTGCAACAATGTGATTTATCCGAACTTTCTTTTCCCGTGTTGTGTGGATGATACTTCGAGAACATGAGGGAAGTATCCCGCCGCATAGACCAGCATTGCCTACAAGATCATTGGGGTTAATGGTGATTAAGATACCATTTTTTGGAACAGGACCCTCGAGCTTGTTGTAGGACACATTGAAGGACTCGAGAGCTGGTGAACTACCAAAATTCTGCGGTATTCTTCCAACAAGAGAATTGTTAGACAAATCTAGAATGGCTAAAGTTGGCATTGTGGCAATGGTTTTCGGGATTTCTCCAGTGAATTGATTGTTTCTGAGATTCAAAGTCACTAGTTTTTCACATGAAGCTATACTTTGGGGAATTTGTCCTGAAAAATGATTATTAGAAAGATCTAGCACATAAAGTGATGGAAAGTCCTGAAACTGATCTGGAATTTTTCCTTCAAGATTGTTGCTGGAGGCGATGAACGTTTGAAGTTTAGGTACGGAAAGAATGCTGGAAGGTAACGATGAGACGAGGTGATTCCTAGAAACATCAATAAATGAAAGGGAAGTCGAAAGCGTAAAATCTTCAGGAAGTCTACCAGTAAAATTGTTATTAGCTAATTCCAGTCTTTGAAGTTTTGGAAGATTTCCAAGGCCAATTGGGATTGACCCTGAAATAAGATTGTTTTGAATTCGAACACGTACCAAAGAAGAACAATTCGAAAGACCTATTGGGATTGAACCTGAGAAGGAATTATTGAAAAGAATGAGTTTAGTGAGATTGCCCGAATCACACAAACCTGATGGAATCTCACCCCACAACGAATTTGATGAAACATCTAACCATTGCAATGGAGAGTTTTTTCCAAGATTTTGGGGTAAAGGGCCTGCCAACGAGTTTTTCCAGAGCTCGAGTACCTCGAGTTTTGCCAATTCTCCAAGCTTTTCAGGAACATGCCCTGTCAGATTATTGCACATGAGGTTCAGCAACTGCAGATTCTTGAGTTCAGCAATTTCATAAGGAATTTCTCCTGAAATTTGATTATCAGATAAATCCAAATAGATTAGAGATTTTATTTTTCCAATTTCAGGAGGAATCTTTCCAGAGAAACTGTTCTGATACAGATAAACTGTGGTTAAATTCTTCAGTTGGCCTAATTCTCCTGGAATTTGTCCACTCAATGTACCAACAGCCAAATCCAGATACCGAAGGCTAGTGAGATTTCCAAACTCTCCTGGAATTGAGCCTTCAAATTGATTGTATCCCAAAATAATCGTCTCTAAAGACGACAACCGACCAAGCTCAGTTGGAAGCCTTCCCGTAAGATTATTACCAGAAAGGCCTAAAAACCTCAACTTCTTCAAATTCCCGAACGACGATGGAATTGAACCTTCAAAGAAACTCCCTCTGAAATCTAGGCTATCAAGTGAGGTCGAATTCCCAATGTCATCCGGGAGCAAGCCCTCGAAATTATTGCTTGATGCATTGATGCTTATCAAACCTGGAATCATTCCAAGGCCTATTGGAAATTTTCCAATAAGATTGTTAAGACTTGCATCAATGCTCTTCAAAGAAGTCAGATTGGCTAATGACTTGGGCAACGACGAGGTGAAATTATTGCAGCAGATGTTAAGAATGGACAGGCTCCTTAAATCTTGAATGCTGTCTGAAACAATGCCACTGAGATTCATGTTGGACAAATCAACCTTCTCGACTAAGCCCTTCGAGTTGCAAGAAATCCCGGTCCAGTTGCAATGTGGCGAGTGATTTTTAAGCTCGTTGGTCGGGTTTTTCCAGTCCTTGAGGTGATTCAAAGGATCGATCAAGCTAGATTTTATTGATAACAATGCTGATAACTCTACATTTGGAAGAAATGAATCTGCATTGGCAAAAATAAAGCAGAAACCAATGAAACAGTAGAAAAAAGGCAGCTTGTTTTGCATTTTGTTCATATTCTTTCTGCCTTTCTTAGTTTTGCTCCATTTCAGACAATTGTACAAGGTTATGAATGAGGGAAATGGGATTAATGATTGGACAATAAGTTTTTGATTAAGAATTAAAAATTGGAATATCCCTTTTCATGTGTATGGATTCTTAATAAGATTGAAATTCAATGATTAATTAATTATCAATGAAGGATTAATCAATTAATTTAAAAGTGTTCGCGAGTTCTTGTAATATGAACTAGCAATTAATCTGAAACAAATGACTGTAAACCTTTGGACTTATTTCAAAAATTTCCGACATGAAAACATGCAAGGAATGTGTTTGAAGTAATCAACTGACTGATTTATTACATTGTACTTTCTCATAATTGATCAATTAGTCAACTCATAAGTAATAAAAACGATTAATTTCATCTTTCTTATTAAAAATGTTTACTAGTTTATTGTGGGCTTTGTTTACCTTCAAAGACTTTGCTATTGTTTATGACTGTAATCTTTTGTCCTTGAGCCCCTCCTTTTATTAATCATAATGGTAAGATTATGGTTCTACCCGATCGATCCGTTTCGAACACTAGTTCAATTACTTATTTGAATTGGTTTAATATCAAAGTACACAATCATGATAATCGATTATCTAACACTTGACCGTTGTTCTCCAACCAATGACGACAGTATTAGATTGTCCATCCCAACGTCACAGACAATTTGCCGACAACCGAGTCGTTGAGCACCGATAAAACCAAAATTTATAAAATTTCTACATTGTGTTCATTATAATTATACTAAGGTAAAGTGCAATACAATACCTATATAATTATTTGTGAACATGGTCACAAGGGGCTCAAAGAATCTCATCATGTTAGGGTAGGGAAATTAGTTAAAAACATGACAACTAAAAGCTTTTCCTCTCCCCCCCCCCCCCACCCCCCACCCCCTCTATCTACATGTATATAGAAGTATTTTATATATCTACATAAATAAACACATATCCTGCAAAACAATAATAGACTGTTCTTACATGGTACCCACATGGAACCCATCTGGCTGTTTAATCTTTCATGGAATTCAAAATTAATTTTATTTTGATATGTTTTGTGGCATGGGATGATACCTTAATAATGCAAAGATAAAATCAAAAGTTGGAGGCCATGTGAAGGACCTGAAACTGCAGCTTCCCTTGGAAATCAAAATGATTTTGTACCCATTCTTGCAAGGGAAGAGACACCTACTCCTTAGTCACCAAATAATAATAATAATAATAATAATAATAATAATAATTGATGATATCGATATTGGTTCTAGCGACGTGAGCGATCGCCATCTTAGTATGGAGATAGAATGACTAACTTTGAAGAATGCACTAATTACGAATATAAAAAAATAGATCGATTTTAGATTACTCGTCAATTAAAATTAGCTAAAGCAATGTATTCTTGCTTAATATGGATTCCAAAGATTCATTATCTGAATGCGAACGAATTAAATTAGTTACCCTTAGGTCAATTTACTACTTAAAAACATATATAGTGCAATAGCAATCTTGGCCATGGTAGAGTTAGACTTCAACTACCTATGAAGAATGCACTAATTATGGATAAAAAGTAATATGGGAAAATATATAAGGGCATATTCTTTTTGTCGTTTTCAAGCATTTTTCTGTTTTCGATTTTTCAAAATAATAAAAACGCGTTCTCTTTCCTATTTTCGAAAATGAGTTTTTGAAAACATGTTTAAAATTTACAAAGAAATCCAAAACGACAATTTGTCGTTTTGGGTGTTTTTAGTTATAATTTGGCCAAAATTTTCAAAACACACTTTCGTTGTTTTCAGTTACTATCACCCCCAACCACCACCGTTGCAACCTGCAAAACACCACCAACCACCACTGTCGCCCCAACGTCACCCCAACCACCGCCATCGTCGGAACCACCACCACAACATCACCCCAACCAACACTACCGTCGTCAGAACCATCACCACAGCCACCACCACAAAAACCGTTGCCACCATCATCATCACCAACCACATCCACCACCACCACCACAAATTTTCAACTTTCAACCCTAAGTTCACCCATAAAATCAGCGAGTTGTGGTTGAAATTGGGTTTGACCCATGATTGGGTTAGGTGCACCAGAGAGAGAGAGGAAGGTGACCCATCTGGTCCGCGACCATGGGTTGAACGGACGTCGTCGGAATCACAGATATCTTCGGACTGCACGAAACGGGATCGCGACCCTCATTTTGATTAATTTTTGTTTGGACTAAATTGAGGGCTATTTCTAAGTCACCCGAAGGTGGGCAGTTGACCGGTGGTGGTCCGCGATGAANAGAGAGAGAGACGCGCGCATTTTGGGATTTTTATTTTTCAAAACAATTTTTAAAAATGGCAAAAAGAACACGTTTTCAACAATCTCAAAATGGACACTCAAAACAAAAAAATCCAAAATGAATTCAAAACTAAAAACACAAAATTGAAATACGAAAAGAACAACCCTTAAATTTTTGATCACCTTCCAATCCAAATTAGCTAAAGTAATATCTATTTGCACAATGCGAATTCCAAAAATTCACGTGAATGGGTCAAATTAGTTTTCGTTCAATCTATTGGCATACTTCCACTAGAAATATTCTTGTTACTTCGACGCATATTTCTTTAAAATTCGATCTGCACTTAATTATGTAGGATTTTTTTTATAGCAGTACTATTATTAGGAACCAGTTTGAGAATAAAAACGATGTAGTATGAGGTGTCCACATGCTTTTCTAACAAATCCCTCTCTTAATAATGCTGCACAATTAGTTAATCAAGTCTCAAGGATGTTCCACAATTTGACTTTTTATTGTGGTCCAGTCTAAGTTTTAAAGAATATGACAATGATCAATTCAACTCAATGAACAAAATTTTATGAAATGTTTGTTAATCGAACCCATGCGCATTTTATTATGTTCGATTACACCCCGTAAGTATACTATACAAGGTTTTAATTTTTTATAAGTACGTCAATCTGTACAAAATTTGTGAAACTCTCATTTTCGTACCGATTATCTCCATTTTTTTTTTTATAGTTTTTCTTTTCGTTGTTTAATTGTTCCAATAATATGAGAATACGTACATACGAATCTATAGACAAGACTAAACAATACGAGGAAAAAAAAACTTATTTGTATACCTTAATACTATTTGATATTGTATGATTAACCTTATTAAAAACAATTTAGAGGAAATTAAGATCAGTCTTGCAATAATGCATTTGCAACAATTATAAAAAGAAATTTTACAAAATATATTCCATAGGTGTAATTACACTGTATTTTATAAATTTACATTTTTATATACTAATTGTGCATAATGGTTACAAAGACACCATTTGCTGAAAAAAATTCAAATATGTCAGTATACAAAAATACCCTCTTAGCTGTAATAACAATTAACACCCTATAGGATATATATTACATTATATCACATTTGGCACACTATTTTCTATTTATTGATTTTTCATTAAATAATATCTTTTATCTGAAATTTTTAAAATTTATTATGTTCTTTTCCTTGAACTCTAGCATCAAATCAATAAAAATTAATTTCAGTAAGTTAATAAAAATATCGAACAATTTAGAAAATACTTTATTTGACTCTTCCAACATTGTAAAAACAAATAAAAAATAATTTTGTCAGTGAATAAATTTTTTATAAAAAAAATCATTCAAAATAATTTTTGATATTAGTTATTATTTTGTGGCTACATTCAATTTCTTCTTCATTTTAAGTTGGAGGTAATAATGCAACTTAATAATTTTATTGGCATCTATTTTCTTTTTCTGCGAGCAAACTTCACCGAAGTGAAGAATCTATAAATACCCGTCTTAGTTTAGACCTACCCAAACCAAGAATAAAAATATGGGGACAATACATAAATCAAGTTTTTAAGTATCATCATTTCAAAATGAAGGGTTGAGGTTTTAAATTTCAAAAATCAAGTTTTCATTTAAATTTATTTATTTATGAATGAATGAATTATATATTTTATTAATAAATATTTTGGGGTTTTAAATTTCAAAAATCAAGTTTTTATTTAAATTTATTTATGAATTAATTAATTAATTATATATTTTATTAATAAATATATAAAGGGCACATATCTATGCAATTTAGTCACAATTCAAAAATTTTATGGTCACAATTGAAAAATTTTATAGGTCACAGTTCGTTCATCGTTCACAAATTACAAAATTTATAAATCACACAACTTATTTTATGGTCACAAAATATCACAAATTACTTTTATTAGTCACAAATTAATAAATTTGTAGGTCACAGAGTATTTATTGGTCACAATTTATTCTTTATTGGTCACACACCAACCAATTTATTGGTCACAATCAAAAAATCATTTGTGACCATCATCATCACCAACACAACACCACTGTCATCTCCATCTCCGTCGCCAACACCAACACCACAGAAAACGCACCGCCACCGCCAACACCATCAACATTGTCATCGCAATCACCACCAATCCACAACCACCGCCACCGCTACCACCATCTCCATCACAGCCATAGCCATAGCCACCGCAACCACCAACCCCCCTAAAAAATCCCCAAATCGTGATGCCACACCACGACCACCACCACGAACATCACCACCATCGCCACCACCACTAACAAAAGCCAAAATCAACACCACCACAGCTTCCACCAACAACCGAAAACACAACCAAAAACTTAGAGATAAAAAATGGCCTCCCGTGACCTTAGATCTACAGCCTTGCACAAGATACGTCGTTGCCACGCATGGCTATCATGGGTGAACGCCGGGCAGAGGGGAACCGTCGTTGAGCAGCAGCGTAGTGGGGTTAAAGAGAGACTTCGCTGCGGATCCAGTGGGGGCTCATGACGTGACATCATTCACCAATCGCTGCAGTCGCGACATCTTCGTTCACGAGTCGTTGCAGTCCGACGATTTGAGGGGGAAGAGAGACGGTGGTGGTGCCGGTGAGATGG